GCTGGCCGTTCCTGCGCTGTGCAGCACGTGCTGGCACCGCTTTCGGGGCCGTTCCTGCGCTGTGCAGCGCGGGTCGGCTGCCACGCGGGCTGCACGCTCCTCCTCGCCACAGACCCACACCCTGGCCGAGGGGAGCGTTCCCCTTGGAGCCCCCCGGCAGAGTTTCTGGGGGAGCGACGCTTGCGGGGGCGGCAGCTGGCCCGGGAGCGCGGGCAGAGCCAGAAACCAGACCCCACCCCACCCACCAAGTGAAAACAGGAGGGGAAATATAGATGTAAAATATTTTTATTTGTAAATGCTGATCTTCTAAATCTGTTTCCACAAATTCCAAAACCCATAACACTCTGTATACTTCAAAAAAGTCTTTTTTTTTGTGTGTTTTGTTTTTTTTGCCAACATTAGATACTATTATACAGAACAGAAAAAAAAAACCTGTAGGACAAATACTGGTAGGATGTTGGAATATTGTACAAGAGAAGAAAAATATTCAAGAAACAATTTCATACAGCTATTTATCAGGAGAAAAATATATACAATTGATTTATTCTGTAAGATAAAAATACATCATGCCATATACATTACAGGTTCAGAACTGTAGCACTGAATATACCAACAGTTTACAGTCCACTTTAGTTGTGCACACAAAAAAACTTCATTTTTTTTTTCTCTTTAGCCTGTGAAGTGTCAGTACCAGAATTTTAAGTACAAAATAAAAAGCTAACCCGGTTCAAAATGCTGATTAAATTTCTACAAGCAAACACAAAACAGTGTTTATTTTATTTTTTTTTTAAAGAAATGTAAACAAAACCAATCCATACAAACACATCTTTAAATTACACTTTCCAAACCCCTATTGCCAGAGTCCTGCAGCTGCGAGCGCGTTACGTCTCACTCTCCTCCTGGGCAAGGCCGACCTCGGCTCCGACTACGCTGCTCTACGCTCTTCACACCGTTTACCGCAGGCTGAATGCTCCCCTCCTCCCGCATCTGCTTTTGCTGAAGGAAAAACAGCGCTCAGCCTCTGTTTTGGGTGGGTTTAGCGGTTATTCACAGTTATCACAAATCGTAAGCACAAAAAAAAAAACAAACCAAAAACCAAAACCTGACTGAAGAAATAGGGATGCAACAATATAACACAACTGAAACGCAGCTGAATCTCCCCCCTCGCAGCTGCGCACGTCAGAGCTGGCCCCTCCACGCCCTCCCCAGGCTTCGGGCTCCCCCCGGAGAAACCTGCGGTAAGACCCGCCGTCGCGACGGCCGCGACCCCAGCCCCCGCGAGCTCGTATCGTGACAGCCCGACCGACGCCGTGTGTGAGCACCCGACCTGCCGCGGAGTCTGGTAGCATTTGGTCAATCACTATTTTATACTGGGTTGTTTTTTTTGTTTGCTTTTTTGTGGGTTTTTTCTCTCAAAATATTTACACTTTTGTACAAAGTAACAGAGTTTGTTAGTTCTGCAGGTAACAGCAGCAGCTTGGCTTTCTTCTAACTTTCTTTTTAAAAATAGCTTCATTCACTTATTCAATAATAAATACAAAAAGGTTCTCTTATTTTACAGAAATCAAAAACTACAATAAACTGACTCATGGAATCAAGTATTTAAATGTATTTTAGTGCAAGTTATTTTTTCCCTTAGCTCTATCCCTAAGGAAGTCGTTTCAGTACATTCCTTGTTCAGTGGTGTCTACTTTTATTTAAAACTCTTCTTTAATCAGAGGGCCTGCCCCTTTATCAAATAAGGCTGTGGCCAGCACTTTGGACTTCTCCCTTTCGCTGGTGATTTCAGTCTTACATTCATAAACGCCCGCCCGCGCCCCCGCAGGTCAGCCACGGTTCTTTGCCCAAGTCCAACAGTTCCTCCTCAGTGAGCTCAGAAACAAAAGTGCTGGACCGTTCCGCTAATCCCGTTTAACCTCCACGGCTCCGGAAAGTTCGCTTCGGGTTTTGCCGCCTTGCTCCTGGTGCTTGTTCGGATTTTCTCTTCCTTTTTTCAATCCTGGAGTAGAAACCTGCACTTGAGAAGTGATTCCGGTTTGGGTTTTTCCCCCCTTCGAGAAGGCAACAAGTTTCCGTCGACAAAATCAAAAGGTGAATCACTTCCTCCTCCTAGGGACAAGCGACCCTCAAAGACAGCAAGGAATGCCTTCTAGTTCATCCACTTCCGGCAGTTTACAGCTCCACAGTGACATGGAATCTTGTGCTGGTCATCCTCAAAATCAAACTTGTAGTCGTAGCAAAGCTGGAGGAGACGGAGGAGAATGGTTACGGAACATCTGGGACTCGGCGCAGCTCTCCTTGTGCCTCCAGCTCCAAGGCGAGAGCGGCCGGCGGCCGCCCTGCTGGGAAGGGGCGAGGTGGAAGAGGGAAGAGGGGA